TTTTTTTTTTTTTTTTAAGAGATGGGATCTTGCTATGTTGCCCAGGGTGGCCGGGAACTCCTGGGCTCAAATGATGCTCTTGCTTCAGCCTCCTTCAGCAGTGGGGACTACAGGTGCTCGCTCGCCACTACATCTGGCTAAAAACCTCACTAATTGTACTAGGATGTGGCCCAGTGGTCCACTTGCCTAGCCTGCTCAAGACCTTGAGTTTGATCCCCAGCATTGCACATAATAATAATAATAATAATTAACAATAATAAGAATGCTCACATATGCAACGATTATTGTATTCCAGCTACTGATAAGGCAGGCACAGGGCTAAAATTAGTAAAAAGGAAATTCGAGCCCCTTCCAGGTCAGGTCTCTGTGTAACAGGGCTGAGAAACTAACTGCAAGCAGGCCTCATTAAGGTCCAATTCTGTGGACTTACCCGGGATTATTAGGTCAGGGACTGGCTTCCTTAACCCTGTAGTTCACATTAACCCCCGGACAGCAGCCACTCTCTGTGTCCCTCTCTTGGGACCCTTCCCACTTCAGCAGCTCTGCTTTCTATTACTCTAATAAATCCCGTTATTTTGGTTATTTTGCCCTCACCCTGTGTCTGTGGGTTTCATTCTTCAAATTTGCAAGACATTCAATCCCCAGTGCCACCAAAACAACAACAACAACAAAAAAAAAAAAATTGTTTTTTGCAAGACAAAGAACCCAACCCTACACTCTGTGCTGCACTGTAAGGAGGAAATTATCCCTTTGCCTGGGCTGTTTCTCCTTATCTGGGGAGGAATTCCCTTATCTGAAGAAGAAGTTACTTTTTTTTTTTTTTGTAGTGCTGGGGGTGAACCCAGGGCCTTGTGCATGTGAGGCAAGCCTAGCTTGCTATAGCCCCAAACTTGTTACCTCGCTGATAACATTTTGGGGGGGGCAGGGAAGGGGACTGAATTCAGGGGCACTTGACCACTCAGCCACATCCTCAGCTCTATTTTGTATTTTATTTAAAGATGGAGTCTCACTGAATTGCTTAGTGTCTCTCAGTTGCTGAGGCTGGCTTTGAACTTGTGGTCCTCCTGTCTCAGCCTCCTGAGCCACTGGGATTACAGGCATGCACCAGCGCGCCCTGCTCTCTGATACCTTTTTTTTTTAATGTTGTGCTGGGATGGAACGCAGGGACTTAGGCCTTCTCAGCACACACTCTCCCTGAGATTCAGCCACAGCCCTCTGACGGAATTGTGTTCATTAACTCGTTGTCAGTTTTCCCTCTAAGAACACACATTCTCAGTGTAAGCATTAGGACACCCCAGGAGGCCAAAATTGGTTCTTGGATGGAGAAGGAAAAAAATCTTAAATATATTTGGACCTCCAAAGTCAACCCTAACAGAAAAAAAAATCAAGAAAAAAAAAAACCCTCAGGATTTAATATCTATTGTCAGGAAGAAATTGAATGTAATTAGATTAAAATGAATTTACTGATTTAGATTCAATTAGAAAATAATTCCATTTATTTTTCCTTAGGAAAGCAGTACTGAAGGAAAAAGTCATGAAACACTGCGCTAGAATGCTAGCTAGAGAAAGCAAATATTTGCCTGCTTTGTTTCATCCTGAATCATTAACACACATATTGACTGCTCCACACATAGTAAGTGCTCAACTAATACACTTTTGGAGAGAGGTGAGAACCAAATCAGAGGGCTTTTTTATTTTTTAGGTACCAACGATTGCACTCAGGGGTGCCTAACCACTGAGCCACAACCCCAGCCCTTTTATTTTTTGAGACAAGGTCTCCCTGTTGCTTAGGGCCTCATTAAGTTGCTGAGGCTGGCCCCAAACTTGCAATCCTCCTGCCTCAACCTCCTGAGCTGCTGAGATTACAGATGTGGGCCACTGTTCTTCATCCTTGCAGGCATAAGGTCACTGAAGTGTTTTGAGAGGCGCCCTGTGGTAACCATAGGTTCTTTTAAAAAAATATTTATTTTTTTGTTTTAGGTGGACACAATATCTTTATTTATTTTCATGTGGTGCTAAGGATCAAACCCAGTGCCTTGCACATACCAGGCCAGTGCGCTACCACTTGAGCCACATCCCCAGCCCCACCATAGGTTCTTGTGAGAAAAATGATTTGGGTAACCAGTAGGGGGCAATGTGGAAGGGGAAATTAGCAGAACAGGAAGGAGGCTGGGAAGCGGTCTAAGAAAGGGGGAACCTCAGTGTCCTCTTTTAGGAGGGTGGTGTGTGGCAATATGAATGAAAATAGAAAGTTTACACAAATTCCCAGTAAAAATTTGTGCAAGCAGCCAGGGGCAGGATAGAGTTACCCTGGGTTCAATTCCTAGCACTGAAAAAAAAAAACAACAACAAAAAAAACTGCATAGGCTTACTCAAATTTACTCCAAGAAATGCAAAATCCAAACAAACTAGCCAATGGACAAAACTTAAAGTTTTGTGTTATCCATGTGTAGTAAGAATGTAGAGATGTAACACCAACCCACAACTTTAGTGTCTAAAATTATGTAAACACAGTCTGGGGGTGTAGCAGCCACCAAGCCCTGGGCTCCATCTTCAGCTCCAC